TGTCAAAGCAACGCAGTGCAGCGCGCGCCTGCGAGTATACGGTAGGACCGGCACCTGGCATGGCAACGCCGGCGGGACGCGACGAAACGAACACCGGCGCGCACACGTGACATGTCACGTCGAAGTGTATGGCACCATGACTGTGGCATGTAGTCATGTTGTCACAAGACACGTATCACATGATTATCATGTTTGCACCAGTAACATCCCTTCGTCATTCATTTACGTCAAGTAATACCAAATTTGACATATGTGAAGCTAGCGAAACGGCCGCCAGCGCATCATGAGTGTGGCATGTAGTCATGTTATAAAACACGCATGTCGTGATTATCTTGATGGATGTGTCACTTACCTATGTCGTCCGTTCTTGTCACGTAATACGGTATTCGGTGCACGTGACGCTAGCGAAATGGCCACGAGCGCATCATGAGCGTCGCATGTAGTCATGTTGTTACATGACAAGCATGTCATAATTTTCATGGTAGGTTCTGTAGCCTGTGTTCGCCATGCAATCATGTGATATCGCACCAGTTTTGCAACATGTCATTTGAACGAGACCACCGCAAGAGCAGCAAGACCATGAAATGTAATATATGACATTCATGACATACATGTCATGATATTCAAGTTATGACTAGTCAAATATGCTCGTCGTACAGTCATGTTATGCCATACCAAGTTTGGTATCGATATCATTATTCAAACGGCCAGGAGAGCTAAAAGTCGTAGTCGGCTAGATTGATAAAGGGGGGTAAAACAGGAAGAAACTTGGGCTTCAAAAGGAAACTTGAACGCGGCAACAATGAAGCACAGAGTGTTATGGAAATGCACAATATACGGAGTGCTTCGAGATCTGTTGAGAAGCGTAATGGTGCCGGGGTTTCCGTTTGGGAAATCAGTGGTGTGCATGAGCTAAGTTGTCTAATAGGGAATAGATGTGAATCAAAGGGCGTTGGGACGCCTCGCGTTCGTCGCTTATGAGAATACGACTAATAAGGTTGTGGCATATCAGTTATATTCCCATGAGTGCCACACACAAGTCATTGCACAGCCCTTTGACTCACATATATTCAATATTGCAGCTCTGACCTCATGCACAACGCTGAGAGTGATGAGAAAGTATCGAGGCGAGAGAAACTCAGATGAAACTCGAGTTTAATTAGAGGCTAAATATAGATAATGCGAAACGGAGTATATTGGCGAAGCGTTTCATTATTTTTATAGAAAAAACGTTGACAGAGATGAGAGAAAGCGAACAAGGAGACTCACCAGTAAATGTGTGGTTGTAAGCGATATGGCAACAAAAAGTGTTAAGCGAAAAACCAGATTGACGAGGATTTACTTGAAAGCAGCGATAGAAAAAAAAAAGCTGGCTCTAAAGTGCAAAAACAAAATCAGGAGTGACACATTTCATAACAATTCAAGGTAAACATTTTATTGTTTGAAGTGGGGTCGGGTTTTCTCAAAACACGTAATTATAAAGCGATAATATGTAAGAGAGAAAGCGCGAGGTGCTACCTCAATAAAGTTAATTGAAACACAATAACAATGCCCACGATGTGGGAAGACAAGGAAACGACAGAGCATGTTCTAGTTCGATGTCCAGATATTCATCCAGGCATACATTTCTGCATGATCCTACATGAGGCCCTGAGTTTTTGGAAGAAGAAAAGAATGCTTTTAGGAAGAAGAAAAGAATGGCAGCTAGTAGAACATATGTCACCGCCCGTTAAAGTGAGGACGCTCATAGCATTCATCCGGGTAGACAGAGGGCTTCTCAGGTTCGAAGCTCATCTGCCCGTGTACTTCCTTTCGTACTTATCTTGTTAATCATACATTATTTTCTGTGTAGGGACTACAGATAATAAGTAAGGGAATATATCTAGCACGAGCAAAAATATTGCGAATAACAAGGGTGTCTGAGAGTGCAGGTATAACATGCGGGGCATAGCCACAATGCCATCTGCACCCACCTAACAGATTGTACTCGACTGGGGTAGTAAGTGTTTCTTTTCGCCCGCTCAGGCTCGTCGTGGCACGCACGTAATGTATGGCGTTGAATCAAAGGGAAATTGTATATTGCTGCTACATAAGCCGGCTTTTGTGCTCAATGAGTCATTTGATTCTATCGAAACAAATTTTTTCTACCACTCCGATTAGTGAAAACTAACGGACAATCATAGAAAAGAAAGCATAGGGATGTTATGAGCGGGAAATGTAATGTAATTGTGGATAAATAATTGCGGACGAAAAGATAAGTTTCTGCTGACAAGCGCCAGACCTGAGGCCGAATCTGCCCAGCAGCAAGGTATTTTTGTCCTGTTATATTTCTTTACAATTACATCGCAACCGTTAGTAATAATAAACCCTGTACGTTGCACATAATGACCTCTTAGTTCTTATCAACACCGCGTCTAATGAATAAGGATAAGCCCTTTAATTTCCACTTTTTTTCCCTTAGCTCTATTTATTGTGTTACAAAACTAAATTCAACGCTTTATACATGCATTTGACTTCCGTTCAGTCAAGGCACTTTATACCCCTGTCACACGGGCACCACCAAACTCCGTTGAACACCGTCAACGTAAATCTCCCCTAGGGGGTTCCACGGAGAAGGAGTTGTGGCAATGTCACACGGCAATGACAAGGTTGTAACAGTTGCCGCGAGGGGGCTCAGCTGGCGCTGTTTGATTTTCGGAAAAGTATTCTAATTTCATCCCTATTGATTTTTTGTGAATCCTCGTTATGTGGTTTTTACAAAAAAAAAAGCACTTTTAAGTAGGTATGCCACTAACAAACCATTAAAATCTTCTCAAATAAAAACGCATTTGCTAAATGTAGCGAGGCTGCTAGTGACGCTGGCCACATTGTGCTTTTAGTTGTTTTGTTGCCTGTGTACATGCCCGGTACGAAAGTTCTTATGCTTCCTTGCCTCGTGAGCGCACATTTTGTGTTCTTCAGTTATGAGTGACACAGCGGACGACGTGAGGAAGTGGTGCGATATTGTGCTGGTAATGACGTTGATCGGCTGGCGCCGGCCGGCCCGACTCGTGAGGCACGGTGTGTAGGGCATCGGTGTGGAGAGTAAGTGAACTCTGGCGGGCGTAAATATTGTAAACAAACACGCGTTGTGAATAAGTACTACAACGAAAGAACGTTTAGTATTGCTAAAATGTATTATTCTTTCACTGAGGCCACTTAATGCTCGAAATTTTTCTCTGACCTCTAGACTGCTGAAGACGAGAGTACCTCGTTTCGCTGCGAAGGGAGATCGTTAGACGTCCTTTGCGAAATGCTCCATTCACCTTCGTTTGCGTAAAGGTGGCCGTGTGACACCGACCGCATCTTCGTTGTCGTAAAGACGAGGGAGTTAAACGGTTTTCACGGGTCCCCGTGTGACAGGGGTATTAGTCTTCTTCCAACTCCCTTGTGCGTCGTCGTGTGTCGGTTTCTTTTTAAAGACGATAGTCTTCCTTAGGGACCTTCAACAGAAAAATTTTGATTTGTCTGTCTGTCTGTCTGTCTGTCTGTCTGTCTGTCTGTCTGTTTGTCCGCTTTAACGATACCCAAATGGCTCAAGTATTGCTCAAGATTCACCGTTCGTATTTGTGAGATTGCCAAATAAAAATCAATTATTCCGCATATCTAAGGCACCGTAACAAGACGTATATATTCTGTGTGTGTGTCTTTTACTAGAAAAAGCATACATATGTAATTCTAAGGACCGTAGCGTTTATCACGCTGTGCTGACCATGCAACGTATACACGAACAGGCTTGTTTCCAACGCTTATAGACGACACGGTGGTGGCACCCACCCGTCGCCTTGCGTTCTACACGTTATCACCTTCAAGACGGGCGTGCACGCTACGCGCTTCGTTTTCCAAGATAACTGCCAGATAGAGCTCATTTCCCACGTGATAAGTGACTTGATGCGCTCGTTCGCTGATCGAGGCACTCTAATGCTGTGCCTCCAGATTTCAATTCACCAATTTTCTTGCGCAGAACATTAAATAAACGTTTTGTTCACTCTCTCCAGACGCAAGACTATCGTCTTTTGACGACATTTGCAGAGTAACATGCAGATACGTGGCCGTTTTTGTTTTTAGAAAACATTCTTCTCCGTCGGTCGGTGAAAGTTGCGAACTGGCATGCACGCACGACTCGAGGCTTTCACCTGACACGTGAATTCATCACCGGCAATGCGTGACTGAATGTTGAAAGTTTGCCGTTGCTTGGCCGCGCAGTGGCACCGTGGCACCGACACGCGGAACACCGCTGCATGTTCGCCGCGGCCTGCTTTCCGTTGCAGTTGCTGCGACCACTCGACACGTTTGGTTAAACGGCGTTCAACGTCGGCGTCGGTTTAACGTGGTTACGACTACCCGTACGACACGTACCTCGTGCTTCGTAAGAAAAAAAAATAATGTTTCACACCACGCCCATAAAAAAACTCCCAAGCATTTCCCCGAGAGTGAACATGGTTAAGTGCGAATACACGGGGTGATGCTATGAGGGGAATTTATTAATTCTCACTATTATATTTATTAATCACACTATGGTGCCTTTATGGTGTAATGGTTCCTGGGAATCGCAATTTGATCACACGGGGGAGTTTACGTTAACTCACTGGCGAATGCCAACGGATTTTTACTTTACTCCCCCTCACGACCCGCTCTCGACGGGAGACTGAGAGAGAAGGCGGCCGCGCGAAAGAGGGGGGTGCGCGCGCAGCTGCAGCAAGCGAGGAGAGCGGAGGAGCGAGCGAAGGGGGAAGGGGTATAAGGCGCGTTACTGACACCGATATCGGCGTCCCGTCCGTGGCTTATTCGGTAGAGCGTCGCGCTGCGGCCCGCCAAGTCCTCTTTCTTTTAAAGATAGAGAGAAGACTGCGGACGCCGCCGACGGCGGTGGATGGTTTGGGGTCGCTTATAAAGTGTATTCACACTTAATTAATTTTTTAAACTTTCATATGGTGGTCGCAGTAACACACGGAGCTTACCCTCAGCGCAGTCATTTCCACAGCGCGGCGTCCGAAGCGAAGCTCCGAGTTGGTCCAGTCATGAAGCAGCTTTCTGGACTCCTCCTTGTCCAGGTCAACGAGCCGCAGGGCCGACACGTTGGCCTGAGCCCCCTGGAAACGCGTCATGTCCAGCGTGTGCGTGTCCTGCGCATGAGACAGGGCCCGATACGTAAGACACATGACATCGCTGCAATTTATGTGTTCCAACGCTGCCATATTCAGACAAACGTCATAATGCCAGACTGCGGGAATGCGGACGACTAAGCACGGACTGTCAAAGTATGCACTAACTGCCACAGCCACGCCGCCTCCAACATTCCCCTCCTTCTTGTTCGCTTTTCACGTGGTTGTTGCGCAATCAAAGGCGGCCTGCACGTTCCTCCACGCTTCAGCCCCGATCGCGGCACTCCTGGCCCGTTTTCACTCGCACGCAGAACATACGACGTGTGGGATGCCGTTGTCGTATCAGACGTTATATGAAACATCATGGCGGTGGCATAAGTTCATCTAGAGTGTCCTTACAGTTGCTACCACAATAAAAACTCGGGCAGTTAGTGGGTCGTGCAGCGTGCAGTGAAACTAAAGTGGGTTCGATCTTGAAATGAAGAGTCCATATGATGTATAATGGTTTAGTCAACAAACGGCTGTAGCTCATAATGTAGTGGAAATAAAGAGAAATAAAAGGACGTGGCCCTGTCACGTGATACGCAGAATCAAAAGTCGGTATTCAGTTAAAACGACAGAGTGGGTATCCAGGGCAAAGAAAAGAAGCCGATGATGACAGAAGCTTAAATAGGGCGAAGAAGTCAAAAAAGTTCACGGAGGAATATGGAGGGGGGAAAAAGGTTGGAACACGCTAGAGCTCAATCTTAAAAAAAAAAAACAGAAAAGTGCATGTTATAAATATATACGTTTTATTGTCCTGTTAAATAATTTTAAGGCATATTTTTCGGTTTTTTCCCATACTAGATAGCTGACAATAATTATTTCGTAAAATTGAACCACTCCAAATATTAAACTTTAAAATACAAGGTTCTGTGTCACCGTAAGTATAGTATGCGCATGTCCTTTGTGATGCGAAATAATAATATAAACTCATAATTCACAATAAAACAGGTCATCTGACATCCGCCTTCGAAACTTACGAAGGACTCCGCCATTGAAATAAGTATGAAAAGGTATAGCTCATTTACTTGATGTACGCTCTTGGAACCAATGAAGACCACTGGAAGAATACGAAAATAAAAGTGAAATGATAGGACTACCAGAGCAATATGTGGCGTTCTTTCAAAATTTATGATTGCTTATTGCTGCCGCAATATTCAAGGAATGCGGAAACATAAAAATAATGCAGACAAATGAGATTCACTTTCTGCCGCTTCAAGGGAAAATAGAACGAGTGTTATATATTTGCCTAGACGCACATGGCTCTATTTCAAGGTTCATTTCAACAATGGTGCACCACACATGCAAGTAGCAATGCCCGTGCGTGCATTGCGCATTTGGCTGGCCGGTCCACATCACTCGTACGGGCATTCCTTAGCGCGCGCAATTCTAGTACGCCACCACTACGGTTATGACGACTGTCTCGTATTCACACAGATAAGAAGAAAAAAACAGAAAAGCACGTCTACATGAAGATGAGCTAGTTGCTAATTCACTGTAAAATATAGCAAAAAAACACTGCACCCAGCACGAACTTACCCGTGTCGTCTTCCTGCTGTAACAGCGTGTTTTTTTTTTTTGCTTTTTCAGCTATTTGATAAAAAAAAGGGCTTGTTGATCGCGAACGCAGGCAATCTTTTTAAAATAGTTAACGTAGCGGGTTAACTCTTGTTTAGACATTACCTTCAATTTCAAACTTTTGTTTTCTAAAATCTTCAGATTAAAATTTGAGGTAACTTCAAGTGTGTTTGGTGCCATGTTTAAAAACGTAAGTAAAATAGCTTGAGAAAAAAAGGGTACATATATTTGTACTGCTGTCTTCAGCTGGTACAAAAACATTTTGAACAGGAACACTGTTCATAAATCTATTGAGGCTGTTTGCTTTTCGAGCATTTTTTAGCTCTATATGAATAGGAGAAATTTGTATGTGCTGCACGGATAGCTACAGTGCGTTTGTGTACTTATGCCTTGCACACGCAAAGGCAGCCTGCCTATTATACACTGCATCCAATGCTATTTTGCGACTACAGTGATTATCGCAGACTGCGATTAAGCTGCTTTCACAACTCCGGTCTCCGCTATAGGCAATATAGAAAATCTCCTTATGCGCAACTGTAATGGCACGATAGCTATCCTCTTATGACTAAAAAAATCAGCCGATAGAGAGCTTGAAAGTGGTTCGTTGAAGAAAACTTTATAATAACGGCAGCAAATATCTTTGTGTTGGAGCTCAATGCCTAGGTTCTGTTTAAACAATTTTGCAGACGTGCCGAAGCAATGTCTTCAAGACCCTAATAGCAAGTAGTATTCTTACCTACCAGCAAAATCTAGTTCACTGTGCGCGCCACATGACATATCAAAATAACTTCACATAGAATTATTTTATACCTTGGTAGATGGTACCACCAGTAAGAGCGGCGCCACTTTTGTCAATCTTCTTTTTTTTTGAGGGGGGGGGGCATGTTTTATACGCAGCGAAATGTGGTAGTTGTACCACTGTCTTAAAAAGGGTTGATTTTGTCCGGTGGCAAATGATGGTTTCGAAAGCAATTTCATGAGTTTATGCATATGAATACACCGCGGTGTACCATAGCAGTGACCAGAATTTCCGCAAGTTTGGCGCAGCCATAATTTCTTCAGTGGCTGCAGGAACCGGCATAAAGAATGGCAGCATAAGCCACGATGATGGCCAGCCTCTTATTAATGCATGATTTCCGCCTGTACTTGTTTGGATTGGCTTTGACGAAATTCTCACCTCATAAATTTGGCAGCTTCTGTAGCTGTGGACTTATCTATATAGCGTCATTATGAAGTCGGTCGCAACAAGTAATCGCGCATATACGTAGTAAGGAATGAGCCGTGACTTAATGAGTAATTGCTCAGGTATAGCTCCATAATACATTTTGTATGCTGTAACGAGTAACACTTTCAGCTAGCCAATGGGGATATGCAATAGCTTGCTAATTGGAATCCCTCACCAAGAAGCAGAAAAGCTACCATATGGGCCAGTAGGAGCACATCTTTCTGTACACTTAACACCATAAGGCACAATTTATCAACGTAATTAAAAACGCTGCATTGTGTATACCCGTCTTCTTACGCTGGAAAGAGCCCTGGTGGATGCATACACACACACACACACACACATATATATATATATATATATATATATATATATATATATATATATATATATATATATATATATATATATATATATAAATAAATCACCCTCGTTATAAAATACCATAGTGTCTGCCCTCGTATACGTTTATATCAATAATATTTTTTGTTGTCAGGTGTATAGAGCGAAGATAGCAAATACATGTCTGCTCGCACAAGAAAAGTTTTCTCCGGCACTTTGCGCTGGTGAGTGAACACGAACAGTGGGCGCAAAAATGTGAGAGCAAGAGTATGTGTCTTCCACATTACTTCTGGGAGAAAAACAGAACAGAGAAATACAATAAAATTTAATGGAAAAGAAGTCATACTCATGAAGGAGCCTTAGTCGAGAGCCCTAAAGCCCTAGCTCGCTATTCTACCTAGTTTATCAGCGCCTACGGGTGGGTAAGACCACAGGAGACTCAATAAAAACCAGGAACTGTAATTTGAAAACTTAGATATATCGCCTGTTCTGCACTTCAGAACAAAAACTGAAAAAAAATTACAACTGAAGTTTAACGTTCATGAAATAAGAAAAAGAAAACTATCTGTACGGTTGCAGACAGCTATAATCAAAGGATTCCTTTCCAATCAGTTGTACTAGGTTACTGCATTGGTGGTTTTGTGGCCCTCATTATCCCCATTGCTGAATGCCTTTGTCCTAATGCTGAGCTTAAAGAGAAAGGCTTACCGTCCAACTGGGCTCCAAAAATAACACGCTAGGAACAGCAAGCGTACCACGCACATCTCATTAAATAAGTCTTAATATACCGGATGAAAATGCTGGGGTTACGAAAATAGTGTTTATAAAACAATTAAGGTCTCTGAAGGTTTCCGGAGCACCATTTATATGAGATTGAGCTGTTCAATCAACGCACTTCAGATGAACACCCACTAAAAAGTTGCGCAATGTACAACATCCGTATAGTCATTGTAACCTGTACAAGTATTTAAATTGCGGTATGAGAAGAAAAAGAAAACTTACCAAGGAAGTAATGATGTAGTTGTAATATTCTGTCATCATTCCAATTTCAGATGCCTGAAATAAAGATTGCACACATTTACTAAGAAATCCATACAGCGGCAAAGCCGCGTATTAATCGGTAAAAACACCTGTACAATGTAGATAAAAGTAACAAAAATTATTAGGAAGCTAAGGGGATGGTAGCTTGAATTTCACTTTTTGTTGCTCGTGGTACTGATAAACGATACATTAGCCCGCTTCTTTTATTTAAGCATCTTATTTTGTGTCGCTGCAATCCTTTGATAAATGTTTGCCATGACCTATGAGAACAATGTCGAAATGCCCTACAAAGAATGTTAATGTTGGAAAAGCAAACGCGGTGGCTTAATAATCCGTTAGGTCAAAGATTAAACTTTCAAGTATTCGTAGCTTTCGACGCTCTTTAGGCAATGTCATAATTTCTATATAGTACGGTCAAGAACTAAAATTTACTACTATTACAAATATGCAAGAAAAAAGACGTAAAACGTTTAGGGAATTGCAGAACGACTAGATTTTTCCCCATCTTTAGGCAAGATCGAAGAGGATAGCGTCTACGACACGGACGTGGCTGGAAGTGCATACGTGCACACAGCTGTGATGGTTAGCGGCACTCGTGGGATAGCAAGTACTGCCTCGATCTCTTCCCCAGTCTTTAGCTACCAACTCAAGTGGGATTGTGGCAGTTACCTTGGCGATCCAGCACACCTTGAGCCTACCCGCGGATATATACGGCCTACTCACCGATTGGCAAGCGCTATGTCTGGCTCTCCTAATAGATCTCGGCATTCCGAAAGCCTCCGACTCTGTTCTTTTACGCACATCCAAAGTAGCTGCACACAACAGCTACACCATACACTTGCTCTTAATCCCTCGTCATGACTCATTGTCGGGTAATGAACGCGGTCGTGCGGTAGCTCGAGAACTCACCCTCCGAGCAGCCCCGCACAGTGAGGTGGCCAAGGCGTAGCCAGGTTCCCTGCTTCTCACATATCAGCAAGTCACACAACATCAAATGCTCTAACAACACCAATACCAACTTCCATCAAAGTCCTTCACATGAGTGCAGGCTGTCGCAATTTGCCGGCTGCAGTCATAAACTTTCTGCATCGGCACTACATGCATGAAATCAGCCCGACTCATTACAACGATGCAGATCCAATATGTGGCGCTATTCTCACAACCTTTGACGTCACCGTAGAGTGCACCACTGCCTACTTCCCTGCCCTCCCACCAATCCTTCGGTCCACCCGTACCCCAGAAAAGTGGGAAGGCACCCTTCGCGACGGTACCCGCGAGATCTGTTGTGAGCTCCTTCTGTGGGCCCGCGCTGCCGCAGAGGTTGCCATAGGCGTCTTCAAATAAGGAGCCTCCCCTTTTTTTGCATTTGAGTACAGAATCTCTTCACCATCACCCCAATTTTACACAGAATTTTCGGAAAGGTAGATTCAAATGGGATACGAGACGCATTCAACATTAAAAACTAAGAAAGCAAACTGGGTTGTGGAAATGATGCTCCACAATAGATTGAACCCATAGGTTGGATTAAGTAATTCAAGTACTTAAAATATGCAGAACAACACAAGATTCTGTATAAGATTTCACAGACCATGTGAACGCAGTTGACTCAGTAGAGGTACTAGCAGTTTTAAACGTATTGCACTATCAGGTAGTCACATTACGTATGTGCATACTCCAGCTAGCATGTACGATCATTACAGAACAACATGACTTTCTTAAGAAAAATGAACAGGAAAATGAATGTTCTGGTTCCGGTAAGTGGGTATGTAATGTCTCGAATGCTGTTCGGTGCAATTATATACACATTATTAAGACTTACGTAATAATCCTACGTACACGTCGCACGGCTGGAGGAATATTTGGCCCCGTATCTGCTTGTTAATCTGCGAATGTCGTCGTAAGGCGATAGTCTTGTGTGTGGAGAGAGTGAACAAAAAATTTTTTTGATGTTCTGCGCAAGAAAATTGGTGAATGGTGTTCTGGAGGCGCTGCGTTAGAGTGCCTCGAGCGTGCAGCAGAGGCGAACGAGCGCATCAAGCCACATCACACGTGAGACATGAGCGCATCTGGCAGTTTTCTTGGAAAACACAGTGCGTGGCTCCGAGACGGGTGTGCGCGCCCGTCTCAGAGGTGATAAGGTGTAGAACGCAAGTCGACGGGTAGGTGCCACGACCGTCTTGTCTTAGCAAAGCGTTAGAAATACTCGCCTTCTCGTGCAAGTGTTGCATAGTCAGCGCAGCGTGAAAAGCACTACGGTCCTTAAAAGTGCCTATGTATGCCTTTGCCAGTAAAAGGCGCACATGCAGAATATATACGTGTAGTTATGGTGCCCCAGACCTGCACATTATTTGCTCTTTAATTGACAATTGCACAATTAGGAACGCTAAATCATGAGCAACATTGATGTACGCTGCGGATGGGGTCGGCCGTTTCAACTACCCGGTGCCGTTAAGAGTGGACAAACTGACAAATGTACAGACAGACAGACCAATATTTTTGCATCGAAAGTCCCCAAGAAAGACTATAGTCTTTAAAAAGCGCATGGGCAGTGCGTAACGTGTATTTATCGAGAATGCGTGAGTGCGTAGACCCTTAAAAGACGCTACATACGTAACGCGCAAGTATCTCGTGTGCTGCGAAGACCATGCTGCAGGCCGTGCTGGCTCCAGGATCAGTGCTGATTGGTTGTTTCGGGCGCAAGCCTCAGTTCACGTTAAATCGCCGATAAGTGCCTTTCATAATGCAGTGGAATTGTGCCGGTATTGTTTCTCGCATGAATGAACTACACCTAGTTTTGAGAGAATATCAAATCCCGATTTTGGCTCTGTCGGAGGGTAGATTACCGAGACAAAGATCTATCACTGGGTACGTCACTCACAAGAACCCCACCATAACGACTTTCCCAAATGGAAGCGCCGCTGTGTATATATGAATAGAGATACCACACGTAGCACTCAATGTGGCGGATTTGTGCACAGATGTTACAGAAGTGTTTGCGATCAGAGCACAGATAGGAAACCACCAAGTCAGCACTGCATCGGTGTATGCCTCACCTCACAAGAACATTTACATCGAAAAGTTTTTTGAAAGATCTGTGTCATCGTTGCCTAGCTCTGCGCGTCTCTTGTGGTGATTTATATGCGCATCACACGTCATTAGTGTACAAGAGCTCTGATGCACGCCGACGTTGTCTGGAAAATGCCATTGATAAGCTAGACATGCATTGTGAATGATAGCAATGTAACATTCTTTAGGCCCCCAGCTTGTATAGGTATTATTAAATTGACTTTGCATTCAAGTGACGTTCAACTAACGTCTTCCACATCTCCGGACAAAATGGGCAGTGATCATTTGCCTATATTTACCATTCTTGCTGGCTATCATTTGACGGAAGCTAAGTCCTGCAACGTACCTGATTGGGATCGCTATAGAGAGCATCTAGTTCACCAATCAGGGGATATGTTTCAGGATATGCTGGCAAGCAAAGCGACTGCAACCACTATACTATAGCTACCTGCACATTTTGCAGCCCCGGACTTAAAGCTCCGTAATGTGTGTACGGCTAGAAGAAGGGCAGAAGAAAGGCTTATGCGTAAAGGTGGCGAACCAACTAGCAAAACTCAGTTCAACAGAGTTAATGCAGCAATACGGCGACATAGCAAAATACCTCATAGAGAACAATGGGCAGTGTTTTGTGAAAGTGTAAGTGTATTTACTACACGGTCAAGGATCTGGCGAGTAGTAAATAGTGTCGTAAGCACGCCCCAGTCTTCGAGACCATTTATTGCCCTCGCGTTATTCAAGGGTACATGAATGCCATCTCTAGCCGTAAAGTTTGCTGACGTCTATGTTATTGGAGAAGAAAGTGAACAATCTTACCGCCTTCCGCTTCATTCTACATTTGCCATCAACGCACCTTTCACGCTGCGGGAACTTAGGTCAGCCGTAAGTTGTCTCCGTCGACGCTGTGCTCTTGGACATGAAGGCATCACAAACCAAATGTTCTCAAATCTGCCTGCAGAAATGAAGAGCAGGTTTCTTAAACATTTTAACTGTAATTGGGAGTCGGGAAACATTTCTCAAGTCTGGAAAATCATCTGGGCCGTGCCAGTGCTGAAGCCAGGCAAAGAAACATCAGAACTGGCATCATATGGATCATTATCACTAACTTCGTGGGCAGCGAAGCTGATGGAGAAGTTGGCCTGCGTTCAGCTGACATGGTGTATGGAGCATCACAAGGCCCTTCCAGCATGTATGGCTGAGTTTCGACAGCAGTTGAGTGCACAACACAAGTTCTTAGACTTGGTGAGGCACATTGAACACCAACGAGAATACGGCTTTTTAACTTTGACAATACTCCTGGACGTTTAAAAAGCGTGAGACTACGTGTTCGAAGGTGCGATAATTTGTGGTCTTGCTTCTATGGGAATAATGGGACACCTTTTACGCTTTGGTCAGGCGTTCTTTTAGTGATCGCTCGATGCAGGAGAAGTTAGGGACAGTGCTCAGTAGCTCAAGAAAAATTACTAGAGGAGTGCCACAGGGCAGTGTCCTATCTCCAATGTTGTTCAATATGGCCATGGCTGGTTTACCTAATGCTCTCAAGACTGTGAGCAAGGCAGTACAAATATGAATTTATGCCAATGACATATTCATCTGGCTGTATGAATATCAGCATAAGCGATTGGAAATGATTGGCCAAAGAGTTATACTCTCCACACAAACATATCTTGAATTCATTGAAATAACAATATCAGCTGAAAAGTCTCAATTCATGCTATTCCCAGGCATGCGAAGACGAGAAACAAAGCTGAAAATATCATTTATTGATGCTTCAATTAGGCATGCTAAGTACATAAGATTTTTTGGAGTCACACTAGGCACCAGTATGGATTGGCGACGGGCTGTAGGCAAGACAAACTCAGCGTTGTCACCCCGTGTAAACATTCTTCAAAAGATGGCAGGAACAAGCTGGGGGAGCCACCCAACATCAATTATAAAGTTACACGCGGCAC